TTCTCGATAACGATTGATTTTAGCGCTTAAGAGCGTTTTCTACGAGTCAATTTACGATCGTTCGTTATTGTTTCACGTGCGTTTCCCAAAAATGCACTTAACACAGTCGCACGTAGCCGTACTTTAAGTGATACTTAGGAGTCGCTATCCGTTTGTCAAGTGCTGAAATGTCACCTTATAGAATGGCTGCCCTTTTTAATTATTTAATTTATAAATTAATAATAAAAAAAGTGTAATAACGTGTACAATAAAGTACAATCAAATCATTATATTATAATCACACTGCACTTGAATAAAGTTAAATGTGTAATCTGCCGATTGTCCTGCAGGTGACCGCATAAATCTGTCTTCTTACGATGCACTTAAGGCTTTACGATTACTCCAGAGCACTCGTAGATCTACGATGATTTTCAAGTGCTACTTAAGTTACGATGCTTTTGGGAAACAGACCGTAATAGCCTATTAAGATCAGTCGTACGATCGTTTTTACGAACTTCTTAGGCTTACGAAGCTTTTGGGAAACGCTGCCCTGGTTGTTTTTTTGTGAGACATCTTTATCTATTAGCTACCTGTAGCTAAGAAGCCAAGAGGCCAGTTGTTCCCCTGAGGTCCAAGACTCCACTTCCACAGTTAACCTTTCCTCTGAAAAATAAAAACAGCCAACATTAAATAACTGGAATACTTTCACAATACATTCATACTCCAATATATTTAATATCATTTATTCTCTTAAAATGAACAGTGCAAATGGGAATCCAATATTATTGCTCATTACAGCTCATCAGCTCAGTTTTCTAAGAAAACTACAGTCCTTACCATTGAAAGTGTTAACCTCCACCACCATCTTTCCTTTTCTCTGATTGGCTGTCCACTCGAGTTGACTCGGAGGGTGTCGTCTGCAGGCAGGGAAGGGGAGCTGGAGGGATGTGAGGAGCTTGTGCTGGCACAGAGAGCGGTACTCCTCTGGACCTCGGTCAGACACGTACCTGACAATCATAATACATACTTTTTTATTTGTATTACGAGCACTTCCTGTGTTTATTTGCCTCTTTAAGATGAATGGCTTGTTGTATTCCTCAATTGTGAGTCGATTTGGATAAAAGCGTCTGCTAAAATGAATAAATGTAAATGTGCTGCCATTACAACTAGCCCCACTACCAGGGTGAATGGGTGAATTGAAACAGGTGGGTTGGGATGTAACACAGTGGAAAACATATAGAAATAAGTTTAAATTTTGCATTTTTGTTAATCAAATTGATGTTTTTTTTTTTCAGAATTATATTCCAGCCCCCATCAACCTTGCCCAAACTTCAGCCCAACTTCAGCACAAACAAGTTGGAAAAAATTATTGAGCAAATATACATAAAGCAGTGTGTAACTGTTATCATTGATCTACTATTATAGTTTCTATTAATATTTTGAATTAGATTTAATTTTTATATTTTCTGGTTTCATTTTAATTGTAATATTTTAGTGTTTTTGTTGTATTTATTATATGTATATCTATATAATTTTTCGGTTTTAGTCTTAGTTATTTTAGTACTTAAACTAAACAAAAATGAGAGAAAATTAGTGTTTTATATACTCTCTCTCTCTCTATATATATATATATATTGTGTATATCATAAAGAGGCAAATATGCTTATTGAGATGTTAGTTCTGTAGTTTATGTGACATCAGTTAATCCATGATTGCAAATGAAATTATAAACTAGAAATGAAGTTTTGATATTTTTAGATGTTTTTTTTTTTTTTTCCTTTTTAGGGGTTCAAGCACATCGTGCTGAAACCCTATTGTAATTATTTTTCTTTTCATACACAGAACCTTACAGCATCTACACTACTTGTACCTTATGGGGTTGGTGGTCATGTATGATACCCGTTTCTCAGTGGTTAAACTGAAGGTGTTCAACTCAGCCCATGTTACAACCGTCCCTGATCTCCCCTATTATTCAGGATACAGAATTCAATAGGACGTCGATCCCAGGTCAGTTTCTTTTGGCAGTGAGTCCGCTCTGAGTGATCGAGCTCATCACAGTGACCTGGGAACTCATCCGAGAGGCTTTTGGTGATCCGCAGGGAGATGAATGCAGGGGTAGATTGTTAACGCAACATGTGCTTTTGTATGTGCGCGTCAGTTTATGTGTCAGAGTAGGCTATAATATCATCTCCGAGCGAGTGTTAATATCTCTCTTCTTTGGCTCCGTGTCTTACGGTTCAGAAGGATGTAACCTCTGATCACTTCTGACACACCATTGTTTGACTGTCGGCAGAATTAAATGATATCTCTCTCTCCTCTCTTTTCTTCCGCTCTCCAAACGGAATTCCCAGTCTCCGGTATGTTACTCTTTCACAGAAAGGCTTGTCAAGTATAGAAATGCAATTTCACTGATTCAAGGCAATTACCTTGGAGCCTCTCTCCTCATCAGGATGAAGAAACTACAAAGGCACAGATGGAGGCTGACTCTTGTAAAGGAAAGAGCTTGAGGCAAAGATCCGCAGCAGCCCCACTGACACTTGCGTGGTGATGACTTAAATCGCTCAAGCGCTCGAGACAAAGAGGAGGAGAGAATCCTAATTACCCACCATCACTTGCATCATCCTCAATTTGCTGTGAATGTGGTGGGAGAGAGAGGAAGGAGAGAGAGTTTTTAGTACATATTACATAGTGTGTGAACTGCGGTGCCACCCACTAACTTTAGTGGAATCTTGGCTGTTTGTTTCCCTCGTTTGCCAATGTAGTATGTTTTACTGAAGTCACAGGAAAAGACAGGGCAAGGTATGTTTTACTCCTAGACCAGCATTTCTGGCCTGTTGAGGATTGTACTCAGCAATATTTAGTGTTATTATTGCGACAGCATGCTGAAGGATAATATCCAGCGGTCGCCTTCATTTGCGCACCGAGACCTCTGTTGTTGTAGTTTGAGTGCAAAGCAATGTCCAGTTTAGTGCCAAACTGACAGAACTGATAATATGTCAGCTCTGATTTGCACATTTTTTGGGGGGTGAGCTAACTGCTTTCAGACCATTCACCAAATTTGAGCTGATCAATTCAACACTGCAACCTCTTCTCTCAAACTCTTTGCCTATCTCTTCTAGTGATTTTGAGTTCCCCTTGCCCCCACCCTCCCCACCCTCCCCACCCTCCCCGGCTTGTTAAACTGACAAAACCGCTCTGACTGGCACATTTTTGGGGATGAGGCTGAGCTAACTGCTTTCAGACCATTTACCAAATTTATGTTGATCAATTTAACACTGCAACCTCTTCTCTCAAACTCCTTGCCTCTCTCTCTTCTAGTGATTTTGAGTTCCCCTTGCCCCAGCACCCACCCACCCAATCCCCGGCTTGTTCCCACTAGGCTCCATCTGCTCGTGGAGGGGGCCGCAGCAGCTGCAAAGCCTGAATCTCGCGCTCCTCTGTGCTTGCCTGCCTGCCACTGCACACGAGCACCAGCTGTAAACTAGCCTACGCAGCCTATAGCACTACTGCTCACAGAGAGATTAGGTAGGTGATTAGTTAGTGATATCACAGAGTGGATGGGATTTTAGGTAATACTGGTTAAACAGTATAGAAAATAGGCATGTTTTGGGAGTAATTTATGTCTGAAAAGCTTACTTTATATTCTCAAATAATTAATAACTCGTAGGGTTAGGGTCAATAATATTGGCCTTTGGCCTCTGTGTCATAGTTTTTTTTTTTTTTTTTTTTGGGAAAACAAAAAGGATTTTTTTTATAAGAAAGACTGTAAAATGTTTTTATTCTTAAAAAACACAAAATACATATATATTAAAAAAATTTGATTTGCTTTGATTTATGTAATGTGCATTAGAGGGACTCAGATTGTCGTAAATAGACTTTTCACAACAATAAATTCTTATTCCGCAGAAACAATATGCAGCGTAAAAAATTGTTTTCATCATAACAGCATCTTTGTTTTCATTCGTTTAAGTTACAGTATACACACACAAAATAGTTTGTCATTTCTACTTGTGGGTTATGGGTTTTTGAGTTATGAAAGTCATGAAATTCGAAGTTGAATAAAAGTCTAATGAACTTGGCACTACTTTGTTTCAGATTAAGTGGGTAGTTTTTTTTACATTGAACAAAATGAATCAAGTAAATTACTGCTAATGTTTCTAAATCAAAGGAATATATTAAGAGAAATATTTTGGTGTTAACATGTATTATGCAAAGGGTTGACCTTTTAGTGAGTTTGAAGATTAAGATTGAAGATATATTATATTATATTATATTATATTATATCATATTATTATGTCATATTATTATTGCCATAGAAAGAAAGAAAGAAAGAAAGAAAGAATGAAAGAAGAGCTATAAAGTGTTTTCATTCTTTTTGAAACTTTTAAAATTAGATTCCAATTATTATCTTTGCGTCACTTTGTTCAAAAAATGTGTCATTTTCATAAACCTAACTCCATTAATACAAATCACAGAGAGATTAAAAGTAATATTGGTTAAACAACCTAAACAAGTCCATGTCTGAGTGCATTTTATGTCTGAAAAGGTATAACAGCAGCTCAATAGATCATTTGTATTCTCTGATAATAATCTTTCAGTAATACTTGATGTCTGCTTCTGACCTTGGTGGGTTTTTTTCTTTTTCAAAACAGTAAGGATATGTTTCTTGAACATCTGTGGCACAAAAACAACATATATCTAAAGCATATGCCCATATAATTTAAATAAAATATATTGCTACTGGTATTGCTAACATGTATGAATATATGAAGATTTCTCTGTTAATATTTGTTATGTATGTACTATAGGTTAAAAAGCAATCCGAAGAGATTTTATGGGATATCTATGGATGTCGAATGTATTTTGTGCAAGCTTTCAAAATAGAGGTGCTAAAAACGACCATTCGAAACGAGGAACAGACCAAGTTTGAGGTGTCACCATTCTCGTCCAATGTTGTTCCCGGGAGATTTCTGATGGATGAAATTAAGCACTTCCATCTCCATCTCCCACCTGATCGCGCGCGTATAAATCCCAGTAGCTGATCAGCAGAGCTCAGACATCAAACCGACCCCGCGCGAGCAGAGACGCCAGCGGACACCTCTCTCTCCCTACCCGCTTTAACATTAACAACCGCTCCTCCGGAAACGTGCTCACATTTAAAGCTGCCCATTTTTGGAGCGCTTCCATTTGGGTCTGAGCGCACTTTGACGGATCTGCTGCTGCTGCTGTCCAGTGCTGAAGTTGCATTTCGCCTGTGCGGAACGGCTTGCGCACAACTGAAGCTCCGGAGCTTCCGCGTCTTTCCCCCCCCCGCTCAGGTGTTTGACTTTCAGCCCTACAGGACCAACTCTTTTATTGTGCGGTGGATAGAGCGAGGATATCGTGCTGGAAGAGGCTTTCCGCTCTGCGCTTTAAACATGCCAAGGTCTTTTTTGGTGAAAAAGGTGAAGCTAGATGATTTCTCATCCACTGAACTTGAGCGCGCGTACGGCAGGTCCAGGACCGATCTTAGCTTTCGGATACACGACAAAGGTAAATGCAAAGGAATGCTGATTCCCTTTGATTTAGCGCTCTTTAACTTAATACAAGCAGAGTTTTAGATGCAACCACAATCAAACACATCTGAAATTGCGAAGAATGGTTTTGGGGTTCATTTATGAATTAAACTCTGCAGGAATGAAAGTAGATATCTAGTAGCAGGATTAAGCACCTCTGTGGTTTTGCTTGTGATTTATGTGAAACCATAATGGGAATACAAACATAATTAGTGGGATTCCAGCACTGAAAACGCATGGTAACATTTGCATGCATGCCATATGGAAATCTGCTGCTGGTAACAAAGCTTAACTTCTCAGCAACTTGGAGCCCAGTCACTTCTAGATGAGCTTAGGTGTTTGTTTATTCTGCAAATCAAAGAAACGCTTAGGGCAGCTGCGCACACCACACTGTGCTTATGGTGGTGCCTTTAGAAGGGGGTAATTAATCTCCCACTGTAAAAAAAAAAAAGTGCTATCTGTGCTCATACTGCAAGTCCACAGTAAATGTGGCATCCTTCACAGCTCCACGGATTTGTCCTGAAATAACTCTGGAATAATGTAAAGTCAAGCTGACACCTATTCTGTTTGAAATTCCCTGTAGTGAGTGGTCATTAAGTCTAATTATATTCAAAGAGAAATGCTGAATTTGTTAAACACATAATGAATCTCAAAGAGCACTGGCACAATCTGGTCGCCGGTCGCCTTTGCCAAGGTGGAGATAAATTGAGCGGAAAAGTGACCGTTGCATTGCCGAACCCCATTGTCCTCACCCGATTCCCTTGTGAATATGAATAATTGAATAAAAGATCTTGTTCTCTCCACGCTAGGCTACATCAGTGACTACATCACCCCGGCCGTTTACGATGGAGAAAGTGATGGTGGCACTAAAGTACCTTCTCCAGGACCGATTTACGACAGTAACCACAGCGACTACGGGGCACCTGACTCGGACCAGCCTGACAGCCCGCAATCCGAGATCACATCCGGGTACATCAACGGCGACAACGCAGTGAGCGAAGGTTATGCCGCTGACGCGTTCTTCATCACAGACGGCAGGTCCCGTCGGAAAGTGCTCAGCGGCTCGCGGACCCTCCAGCGGCACACGTGCAACGAATGTGGCAAAACCTACGCGACGTCTTCCAACCTGAGCAGGCACAAACAGACGCACCGGAGCCTGGACAGTAAGATGGCCAAAAAGTGCCCGACATGTGGGAAAGCCTACGTGTCCATGCCAGCCCTGGCCATGCACCTGCTTACCCATGACCTCAAGCACAAGTGTGACATATGTGGGAAAGCGTTCAGCAGACCTTGGCTACTGCAGGGCCACATGCGCTCTCACACGGGCGAGAAGCCCTTTGGATGTGCACACTGTGGAAAAGCGTTCGCCGACCGTTCCAACCTGCGGGCGCACATGCAGACCCACTCCGCGTTTAAGCATTTCAAATGCAAGCGATGCGACAAAACTTTCGCGCTCAAGTCCTACCTGAACAAGCATTACGAGTCGGCGTGCTTTAAAGGCGCGTTCTCGCCGCTCGCGTCCGTCGAGGCGTGACTTCCGTAAGCGCTCACTCCCCCGTCACGTGTTAGGATGATTACGCTATCTTACACAGTTATGTCTCACAATCAAAATGAAACCCAGTAATAGCACAATTTTCTCTATATTTCTTTCTCGCAAAGTTGACCATAAAGGAATATGGAACCTTCGCATGCACTTCAGCACCCGTGTCCTCAAATGACGTTCAGACAGTTCACCTCGGCGCTGCGCAGTGCTTGACTATGACTTGCGTCGAGTGAAGGTTTGAGTGACACCATGTTCCTCATTAAAATAAAACTCTTTTGTATTGTCAGTGGATATTATCATACTGCTGCAGGTGGCCCAAACGTATTCACAATCGAGGTAAACTGGTATTATTTATTTATTTATTTATTTTTTATATATTTATTTTTGTCTGTTTTTATTGCTTCATCTAGGATGTATGATTCTCTATGATGCACTGAAAGTGTGATTGTCATATATTTATTTATTTATTTATTTTAATGATTAATTTGGCCTTTTTCTTTCTCAATAACGTTGCCTTTTGGGTTACGCCAGTCTTATTAACATGCCAAAGCATTTAGATCCATGGTAATAATTTTTTTTTTTTTTTTTTTTTTTTTTCTTTTTTTTTTTTTTTGTATTATTTTTTGTATACCTACTTAATGCATGCAAAAAGAAAAGAAATCTATGCCAATACCACAAAGCTTATAATTTTGCCAAAATGTAGAGATAGTATCAGGGGGCAATATTTCTAGGGGTTCTCATAAGAATATAAAAAGCAATAATCATAATGCATGGTATTTTTGAAAGTAATAAAGTATTACCTATAGCAGTTTTTTCTAAATCAGGTACGGTTTGATCCAATACTCTTAATAAACATTTAAAAATACCACATCAGGGAAAATGCCAATGTAGAGTTTAGTGAGACGAAATCCATAAGTCGAAACCATCTTTCTTTGCTCTCTGCTTATGCACTGCCTGCCTCGAATTTAAACGTAGATTTAGAATGTAGGCCCAAAGTGCTGTAACTCCACTCTAAGCAATTCAGAACCATTCTCTAGAAGTGTGGAACATGCAATGGCTTTTCTGAGGTTAACTCAAAGGGACACGCAAGGACAAGAAAAGGACTCGAGCAATAGGAAGGTGTACCATCTGCATGGCCGTTCTGTAATGCACTCACACTGCATTTCCAGCTCAGCTTAGACGCTTCATTTTCTCCAGTTTGGGTGTCCCTGAGGTTGAACGCACTTCATTGAAGAAATCCTTAAAAAGTAGCACAAAAACCCTAGATTCAGGTAGATGTTACCTAGCTCAATCTTCCTTTTTTATACCTTGAAAGAGGAATAACAGCTCAGTTTGTGAGGTGATCTTCATGTAGATACTCATTTGAAGAGGAAAAACCTTTTTACTGTAGATGAATCCACTAAACCTGTTCAAGAAACAAACAAACAAACAAAAAAATGTCCTGCGACTTTTTGAGCCAATGTTCAAATGATGTAAGCACAAGACACAAGGCATTTTAAGCACTTCATAATAAAGGCTAAGTAAACAAACCGAGTCTATTGCTCATTTGTCCCTGATTATTGCCGTTCCTCTGTGAAATTAGTCTATTAAAGAGGCCAATTAATCTTGGTGAATGAAAATCAATGCACACGCACTGACGAAGCAACGCAGGCCAAGAGATGGGACGGGTGAAAACCTGCTATGGGTTATTTATGGTTCAATATATCCACTCCGGCAGTAGCAATTGGTTGTTTTTAATGTAGCACCAAAAGCTGATATAATGGAAATAATGGAGTGGCGATAAGGGAAGTCCAGAGGGAACAATTTCCACAGGTGCTGCGTTTCCTTCAGGGTGACATTCTCGCCACACAATCTTTGTCGGATAAGAAAAGCGTGCACTTTTGTTACCTCAAATCAACAGGTTTCATGGTGAAGCTGCAGATCTGCATGATGCTTCTCCATCCTTACAAGTGGTGCTCGGCATATGGCACATAAATGTTAGCAATCCACATGATTAGGTGTTTGTTTTACCACTTAAGGTGAGGGATGTGTTACACTTGAGTTGAGTTTTGGTGACTGTGCATGCAAGAAAAACTGCCTTTGTGTTAGAATGCAATCCAATTCACAAACACACACCACGAAGTGCAGCTTTTACTGCAGTTCCATCTATATCTGCTCAGTTCTCGTTCAGCGAGGAGCACCAAACTCTCCCGCTCAAGTTAATCTAGCTTGTGCAAACGAGGCCACCAGTGTCATCAATTTGCTGGGAATCATTATCCGAGCATTCTGAGCGTCTGCGCTCCGGTCTCCGGAGCTCTGGGTAATTGTGCTAGCAGGATGGAATCAGCAGGAGCCATTATTTAACCCGAGACAGCTGTGAGAGGGGCCGCACACGTTGATCTGTTTGCTGTTTCGTCCCTGTCTCTCTGCTTTAGGATCACAGCATCCCTTGAGTGATTCCTGCGTCTTCTGTACTCCCCGTGTTCTCCGGGGTCCTCGTCTCTCTGACAAACCCCATAACAATCTCTCAAGTCGAGCAGGTTTACTTTTACAACTCGGACCATGCTTGATCTCAGAATAAACATTTTCAGAAGTGATTATTGGATTGGGTTTAGTCAAAGAAACTGCTTATTAGTGACATCGCTGTTTTCGTTCTGGAAAGCCAGAATCAATATCCATGAGGTTACAATCAGCAATGGCTGAAATTGTGCTTGTGTCAACTGATGGATTAGATCAGAGGCTATTAAAGCAAGCCTTGTACTCGAAAACAGATAGACGGGTCAGAGAACAGTATTCATTAAGAGTTTGTTGATGTACTACTACTAATAGCTAGATCATAAGAAAAAGTGACTCGCAACTTTTATCTTACGCCAGCAAAACACCTCTTGTACTGTATTTTAGGTAGTTTTTTTTTAATGTTCAATGTTTATTTATTTATTTTGCATGTGCTGAAAATTTTACAGTAAAAAATATCAAAAGCTGCATTATAGTCCGCTGTAGTATAAAGGTTTTACCGTAGTATACAGGCTACAGTGTTAAAGTCCTGAAGCCACAAGTTTTAACTGAGGAGTCCATGGGAAGTCGTGGCCTAATGGTTAGAGAGTCAGACTCGTAACCCAAAGGTTGCGGGTTTGAGTTTCGTACCGGCAGGGATTGTAGGTGGGGGGGGGGAATGTACAGCGCTCTCTCCCACCTTCCATACCACGACTGAGGAGCCCTTGAGCCAACATAAATGGCTGCCCACTGCTCCGGGTGTGTGTTCACGGTGTGTGTGTGTTCACTGCTGTGTGTGTGCACTTTGGATGGGTTAAATGCAGAGCACTAATTCCAAGTATGGGTCACCAAACTTGGCCACATGTCACGTCACTGATAATCTTCCCCTCCGCTATTGCACTTAAATATTGAAATACTCAAAATAGGTTGCCTCAAGAAACATTATGACGTTTAACAATGTCAATTGCTGTTAGCTCTTATGTGTCTTGTAATGGACTGCCATACCCAAGTTTGAAGATCTCTTTTAGAATGCGATTTTAGAGCTGTACATTTTTTCAGTTAAAACTGATTTGGCTTGTCCAAGCTGATTGGTTTGAAAGTGACTATGAGCTGTGCTTTATACAATAGAAAGTGGACATGTACTGCCTGCAAAATATTACTGACGCAACCTGCACCTACTTGTTTCACACAAACCACACAAACCTCATCTTATCGATTGTAGTGAAAATGAACTTAGTGGATTGCAATATAAAAATTATGCAGGTTATGCAGGTTAAATGTCCATATTCTGTAAAAGAGGTTGCATTTCTTCCTTTTCAGCTCTTTTGTATATGCTTTGTTAAACATAGGGATGTTTTACTCAAGATGCCTTCAAAGGAGCTGCAAAAGATGAGCACAACTGATATCTTTCGCATATGCATATTGATATCTATTTTTTCCTTCTCACTAACATTCAAATATTAAAACTGAATAAAGCACCAACAATAAAAGGAAGGTTAGTTGATTATCTTAAATGTCCACAGATATCTCCGATAATTCAGACTGCTGTTAAAATTTTGTCCAGCAAGTGGATGCGATGAGACCTGTTTTCCTTTTTGTTCATGTATTTGTTACTTTGTATGCTGCAGTTGACTGTTTTTCTTAGTGGAAGCTTTAAGATAATATACTGGGTTGATTATGAAATAATTTCAACTCTCATCAGTATTTCATCCAAGAATTTACTTATTTGGTGAGTAGGAGTGTAATAAGTGGGATAATGTTTAGTGAGATTATCATTATCACAAAATAAACCCTGATGTAGAGCAATATTTCTTACATGTTGTGCAGTAATTAGTGTTAGGGGCTCGAAAATATCTATTTAAATAATATATGTAGGCTATAATATAGAAACAATCAAAAACATTGGTTAACACACTTCAGTATTTTATACCTTATGACAAAAGGGGGAAGTCGTGGCCTAATGGTTAGAGAGTCGGACTCGTAACCCAAAGGTTGCGGGTTTGAGTCTTGTACTGGCAGGGATTGTAGGTGGGGGGAGTGAATGTACAGCGCTCTCTCTCACCTTCAATACCACGACTGAGGTGTCCTTGAGCAAGGCACCGAACCCCCAACTGCTCCCCGGGCGCCGCAACATAAATGGCTGCCCACTGCTCCGGGTGTGTGTTCACGGTGTGTGTGTGTTCACTGCTGTGTGTGTGCACTTTGGATGGGTTAAATGCAGAGCACTAATTCCAAGTATGGGTCACCAAACTTGGCCACATGTCACGTCACTGATAATCTTCCCCTCCGCTATTGCACTTAAATATTGAAATACTCAAAATAGGTTGCCTCAAGAAACATTATGACGTTTAACAATGTCAATTGCTGTTAGCTCTTATGTGTCTTGTAATGGACTGCCATACCCAAGTTTGAAGATCTCTTTTAGAATGCGATTTTAGAGCTGTACATTTTTTCAGTTAAAACTGATTTGGCTTGTCCAAGCTGATTGGTTTGAAAGTGACTATGAGCTGTGCTTTATACAATAGAAAGTGGACATGTACTGCCTGCAAAATATTACTGACGCAACCTGCACCTACTTGTTTCACACAAACCCAACTGGTTTCATCTTATCGATTGTAGTGAAAATGAACTTAGTGGATTGCAATATAAAAATTATGCAGGTTATGTGCAACAAATGTCCATATTCTGTAAAAGAGGTTGCATTTCTTCCTTTTCAGCTCTTTTGTATATGCTTTGTTAAACATAGGGATGTTTTACTCAAGATGCCTTCAAAGGAGCTGCAAAAGATGAGCACAACTGATATCTTTCGCATATGCATATTGATATCTATTTTTTCCTTCTCACTAACATTCAAATATTAAAACTGAATAAAGCACCAACAATAAAAGGAAGGTTAGTTGATTATCTTAAATGTCCACAGATATCTCCGATAATTCAGACTGCTGTTAAAATTTTGTCCAGCAAGTGGATGCGATGAGACCTGTTTTCCTTTTTGTTCATGTATTTGTTACTTTGTATGCTGCAGTTGACTGTTTTTCTTAGTGGAAGCTTTAAGATAATATACTGGGTTGATTATGAAATAATTTCAACTCTCATCAGTATTTCATCCAAGAATTTACTTATTTGGTGAGTAGGAGTGTAA